GAGGATGGGTCTCTTGATTTAAAGCTAAACTGGAGTGCCAGGACCCTCGTCTGATGTTGGGAGACACTAGCCACCACGAAGGTCTGAGGTGCCCACTATGATCCTCTAAGGTGTCTGGAAGCCCCACAGTCCAGGAGTGGGGCTCACCTGGGCGGGGCTTGTTCCTGCAGGCATTTGGGGCTGTGGAAGCCATTTCTGACCGGATCTGCATTCTTACCAATGGGAACGTCAACGTGGAGGTGTCTGCTGAGGACCTGCTTACCTGCTGTGGTTTCCAGTGTGGGGAAGGGTGAGTCTGAGGCTGCACCCCGCCACCTCAGGAGCCCAGGCCCCTGGGAATAGTACGAGGGGTACCTGGGCCAGGGCCTCCTCAGGTGCGTGGTGACTGAGGGCTCCCTGGGACTGGAGTGGCACTCCTTCAGGATGAATGGTGGTCCTTTGTGGAGTCACTCGAAGCAGGCCCCAGTGTGACTGCTGCTTTCTGAGATGTGCTTAAAACCAGTCTGGCCCCACAGAGCTGGCTGTGGGTGGTGGGGTCTGGGCAGAACAGGTGATCTCAGGGTACATGGTTAAATTTCTCATCTCAGGTCTGGTTTTTGTCATCCTCGTTCCCTTTTCCTGCTCAACAAAATGTAATAGCCTCAGGGTCTGTTTCCTTATCTGTAATGAAGAACGATGCATCCCCACATTAGCCTCATAGGAATAAACCCCTGCCACCTGGGCTGCTGCCTTCTGCCCACTCTGGTCTTGGTTCTACAACAGTGGTTCCCAGCCATGGCTACAGATTAGGAATACCTGGAAGGTCAAAAAAAAAAGAAAAAGAAAAAGCATGCCCAGGCTTTACCCCGCCCCAGTTAAGCCAGCATCACTGGTGTTTTCGTGTGTGCTGCCTGGTTGAGCATCCCTGTTCTAGAGAGGAAACGACCCGGTTCAGCGTAGATGTGAGTGTGAGCGTCCTCCTGTCTCACTGAGGACCTCGGAGGCTGGGTGAGGTGGGGAGGGGGAGCTTGGGCAATTCCCTGGAAGAAGAGATTGTCCGGGGGAGGAAGAGCAGGGGGTCTGCTGGGATATGGAAGTCCGTTGGGCCAGTTGCTGAAGGCAGTGGTGGGCCTGCCAGGCAGCATTGTGGAACAGCTGGCACCTCTCTCACGATGACTTTAATGAATGGCTCTTTTCTTAGCTGCAATGGGGGCTTTCCTTCTGGAGCTTGGAACTTCTGGACAAAAAAAGGCCTGGTTTCCGGTGGCCTCTATGACTCCCATGTAGGTGAGTGTCTGCCCTCAGCCCCCATCTGACCAGATGGATTTTATAAGCAATGAATCATCATGGTTTCATTTTCCATTATAAAGCGAAGGTTGAGGATTGAGATCAAGAGTGCTGGGCTGAAAAATAGAGTAGAAAGATAACCCAGGCCTCTCCACGGCAGACTTAGCAACAGGTGGAAGAACAGTCTTAGGTTGTAGACTTCAGGGTAACTACTGTTCCCGCTAGTCATCACCCCAATTTCTTCTGGCCTCCAGGGGGCTCCGTAGGGACGGTTGGCTGACATTCTCCTTTCTACTTGTCCTCCCAGGCTGCAGACCCTACTCCATCCCTCCCTGCGAGCACCACGTGAATGGCTCCCGGCCCCCGTGCACGGGAGAGGGGGGCAGCACCCCCAAGTGCAGTAGGATTTGTGAGGCTGGCTACACCCCATCCTACAAGGAAGACAAACACTTTGGTAAGCACTCTGGGCCAGAGACCCACTGATGGCCTTACCAAGCCACAGGGAAAAGCCAGGGCACCTGAGTCTTAGCATCAGGAAGGGTTCCCTCGCCCTCTCCCTTTGACTCTAAGATCCAGAACCAGAATGAGCAGGAAGGGCGTTAAAGCCCCTCTTGCCTGTCTGTAATGATTTCCGCCTGTCTCCACTCTGAATTCAGCCTCAGGAAGGTTGTCTTAGAGTCGCAGACCATCAGAGTCAGAGTTTGGAAAGGACCAAACTCCTTATTTTACAGGGGGTGACCTGGCCTAGTCCTCCTGGGTCCCAGTCTGCCCTCCTCCAGGGTCTCATGCTCACACCCCTTCCACCGCAGGCCATGCTCTCCTGCTTCTCCGCTTCCAGATCCAGTGCAATTGCTTCTCCCTCAGGGAGCCTCCCCTGACCGCCACCCCACTTCCAAGGCTGGGCAAGCCCCTTAGATGCTCAGTCTGTACCTGGCGGCTCCCCATAAATCAGTGAATAATTGGCCGGTGGAGCTGCAGATGTGGCTCACCCCCCTGGGCTGCTTCATTTGCCAGGATGCAGTTCCTACAGCGTCCCCAGTAGCGAGACGGAGATCATGGCAGAGATCTACAAAAACGGCCCAGTGGAAGCGGCCTTCTCCGTGTATTCGGACTTCCTGCTGTACAAGTCAGGTGTGTACTGACCCCTGATTGGGGCAGGGTGGGGCGCTGCAGACAGGGTGTCCAGAAGTGCAGTGGCAGGCCTCCCCTTGCCTGGCTCTGCAGACCCCTCACCAGCTGACCCTGCTCTGGCCTCTTGCTCCCGTTGGCCTCTTCTGCACATGCTAGTCTAGATTCCTCGTGCAGAGTGTTTCTGTATGGCCAGTTCCTGCTCATTCCTTTTCATTCCTTAATAGCTAGCTCAGATATCTCCTCAGGGAAGCCTTTCCTCACCTCCCTGGAGCTGTTTGCTCCTGCCTCTGTCCGCCTTCATTGCCTTATCAGTGTCCATCACGGTGTAAGTTTAGGTGTTGTGTGTCTGGACTGAGTGACCCTCTTTATTCATCTTTGTCTTGGCAAAGTCCTGGCATCATGCCTCCCACTCAGTGGTTGAGGATACAGGGAGCACCTGCTGTTTGCGATGCTGAGGGGATTCAGACCAGGGAACTGGATGGTCTCTGGCCCGAGAACTGTCTTAGAGACCCCCCATCCCAGATGAAGTCAGTGCTGACTGCTTCTGTCTCATTTTTTTGCTAGATTGAAAACTCCAAAGCTCTCAAATCTTTAAAAAGCAATGATTGGAAAGGAAGATGATTCTGGCAATAAAAATATAGAAGGCTGGCAGTTCTTAGCATAGTCCCCACCTATATTATAAAAAGATGCATTTCCAGTTTGACAGTGATTCATCTACAAGGGGGATAGGCTAGCTAGCCAGCCCTCTGAACGAGCATGTTAGCCAGTATCTCTCCATCCATCAACATTGGCTGCCACCAACTCAGCCTCTCCTGCATCCTTTCCACAGTGACCCCACAGCAGTAGCTTAACTCTTTCAGCCACAGAACGCTTTTGACAAATCTTTACATGGAGTCTCAGTATGTAAAACAAATAATTGGTATTTTAAAATTAAATTTATATCTTAAATTAGAATTTTAAAAGCAACCAATGAGCATGTTTTGTTGGATTCCATTTTAATATTTACTCCATTTGAATATTTAAGTGTTTTTAGGCTTTCAAATATATATATATAAATAATGCCTTAATGTTGCGGGAACGCTTGGCACTTGACAGAAAGCTAGGGTTCTATAGAACCCCGTCTGAAAATGGGCATGTCCTCTCCTTGTGGTAGAGCTGTGGGCCCTATGGGCCTTGTTTGTCCTGATGGCATAGCCAGCTCAGTTGGAGGGATGCTGTGGGAGATGGGGCGGTGGCTTGGTCTCTACCTGAATGGGTTTTTTCTTTCTCAGGAGTGTACCAACATGTCACTGGAGAAATGATGGGAGGCCATGCAGTCCGCATCCTGGGCTGGGGAGTGGAGGATGGCACCCCCTACTGGCTGGTTGGCAACTCCTGGAACACTGACTGGGGCGACAGTGGTGAGTGACTTTTCCCTTCCTGCCAAGAGTGGGATGTTACAAGCCAGAACATGGTTGCCATCTTGTTTTCCTCTGCTCTACCCACTGCACAGCTCTAAACCCTAGGCCTTGGGCTTCACTGTGACCTTCCAGGTGTTCGGGTACTAGCAAGCTATTTCCTTCTGCCACAAAGGCAGCCTCTGATCCTGAGAGGTGGTAGGGACCAGGACTCAGCTTCAGCTTGCTTGTGCCCGCCAGTTCCCCCATGTACCAGGTGCAGTGACAAATCAGAGTTGAATGCAAGTGGCATCCAGAGGCCTCATGACGTGGAGCTGGGCTGCCGGGCAAACGATAGAAGCTGATAGAGCACCTTGGTGCTGGTTTGATGTCTGTCTGGGGGCTGACTTGTCTGCTCCTGGGTTTTTTAAGAGATGAGTCCGAATATGTTGCCCAAAGCACACTTTAAAGGCATCTTTACTTTTGCTTTCTAGGCTTTTTTAAAATCCTCAGAGGACAGGATCACTGTGGAATTGAATCGGAAATTGTGGCTGGACTCCCATGCACTGAGCAGTACTGAAAAAGAATCTAATCTGCTGTGGACCCGTATTGCCAGCCCTGGAGCATTTTTCCCCCAAATATAGGCAGTGGGGCTGGGGATCAGATGAGGGATAAGAATATCTTTTATTATTTGAGTTCAAATAGGATACAAGAGGTTTTAGATAGGGCCTGAAGGACTGGATTGGGCCAAACCTCGTGTCTACCATGAAAGCCGTCTTCTGAGACACATGTAAGGCCTGGCTACCTCCCAGCCTGTTCAGTGGACTGCTATCACAATGCACTTAGACCACGTAAGCCACCGCTGCAAGCAAAGCAAGTCCTTCTCCTGTAGACTAGTGCTGCTCTGGCTCTCGCTGCCACTGTCTCCACATCCTTCACCTCCTTCCCCATCCGTGCATCACCAGGGAGCATGACAGACCTAAAGGGTTTGTAGGTTTTCCAAAGGAATGAAAGGTGCAGTTCCTAACAAGACAGCTTCCCACCCATCAGCAGTAGCTTTCTAGATTGGGAAATAGGCTGAGGAGAGAAATAGTGGGGCTAGCCGTTTGGAGAAAGCCACATTCCTCCAGGGCCCCTGCATCTATTGAGCTTTCTCATGTTGCTAACCCTCTGGTCTTATCCTTAGCATGATTATTTTTTAATAGAAGTTGTATTTTTTTTTTTTTTTTTTTTTTTTGTGCACCTCAGCTGATCATGTGAGTGAAAGAGTCTGATAGTTGGAAGAGCTGTACTGGTAACTGGGTGGCTGTGATCTGACTGACCTACCGACCTCTAATACCACTAGTTTAGAAGAAACCAGTTTTTGCTGTTCAAAAATCATGGCCTCACCATTAATTTAACAATAACTGCCAATAAAAGGTTTCTCCTTCATGTGAAGTCTGTGTTCTGGTGGGACCTCAAAGATCACTTGTCACTGTAGACTTGAAGCTGCTATGCATCCTTATACCCCCGGACCATGGACCTGGGTGCGCTTGGAGACTAACCAGGGCTTCCTTGCCTCGGGTAGAAAATAAATACCTAATTTTAGCTTCTCACTGCCCCAGCCACTTTTTGTCATTCTCATCAACCTTTCTCGTACATCATCCCCAACGTGCCCCAAGCCTTCAGCTCTGACCCTGCTTAAAGAGCTCAGGACATAGTTGTACTTGATTTTTTTTTTTTTTCTTTTACAAATGACGATTCAGTAGTAACCTGAGGATTTATATAGGCATGGTGTATCAGTGAGGTCATAACCCAGGTGTCCTGCTGGAGGACCAGCTTCCCCTGGAACCCTCCAGTGTGGGAATGGAGTGGATGCAGAGCCTGTGTGGTATTTTGAGAGTTCCCTATGACTCTTCAGTTTACATTGCTGGTTAACTATTCCTTTGCATAGTCCTAGTTAAAAATCATAAGCGATGAGGTACACCGGTTCTTGAAACAGGAAACTAGAAGGATCGGCACCCATCCTACTGGCTTATCAATACCTCAGTTATTTCCTTCCCCACCTGACAGTTGGACTAGCTCTTCCCAAAAGCATTCTCAGTTTGACTTCTGATGTGACTCAGAATCAGAAGCTACCTCAAATAAGCTCTTAAATACCTGGTGAACATTGTAGGAAAAATTTGTGAAACTCGTCCTAGCACTTACGAAATGTTTAACAAGGGTTACCAAAGACACAAATTCAGAATCACATTATTATTGAAAATTCAATTAGAATATATTCATAAACTCAATGAAATTCTGACGTTCCACCCACTCCCAAACAGATGAATAATTCCATTTCCATACTGCTTTCCCCCATCTCTACCATGTCCCCGCCTGCAACTCCATCCTTACTCAGAAGCCAGCAGAGATGCTAAATGTGGTAACAAAACAAACTGAGGGGCATCTTCACATTTGGTCTAAGGTGTCTTTGTAAGAAAACAAAACAAAGTTTATGATTGGGATCAATATCAATACATTAATAACCCTCAGATTACCCCACTGATCATTACCCTAATCACCTCAGCTGCTCCTCTGAGGAAAACTTAAAATATTCCACTATAAGTAGTAATCAAGTAGATGATGCCAGGGACGCTAAGCATTTGATTAAATTGTGGTTTAGAGGGTGGGGTTGCCAGATTTAGCAAATAAAAATATAGGATGCCCAATTTGATTTGAATTTCAGATAACTATGTCCCATGAAATACTTGAGACATAATTATACTAAAAAAAATAGGTTATCTGAAATCCAAGTTTAACTGAGTTTTGTCTTCAATAAAATTGCCATTTTATCTGGCAACTTTAGTAGAGAAACGTTTAGAACGGAAATGATCATCCAAAGAACTTAGTGGTGGACATGAGGTCTAAGAACTTTGCACAAGTCAGTGATAATAAAAATCATGTAGCTTATAGTTGGGAGGGACCTGAGATCCCCTAAACCCACAAAAGCTCAGCAAGTTCCACAGGTCACGACTGGGCCAGAAAGATGCTTCTAGTATGTCCACCTCAGACTGAGGCCCTCTACCAGGTTGTCTTGTGTCCTACATGGACTTAAGCAGAACTAAGGTTTCAACACAACAAATTTTTAACAACCTACCCTGGAATCTCAAACCAAATTCTGATGTTTAAACTACTTGGAAAATTACTGGAGTCTGGCTCATAGCTGTATGGTATGTGGCAAATCACTTTAGTTTGTCCAGGACTGAGCCTCCATGAACCAAAACTAAGCCAACTGTGTCAGATGGCGGTGACGGTCATGGGAGGAAAATCAGTGTGGGTATGTGCTTAACAATATAAATCCAACATTATTGCTGGAAAAAAAACAAATTCAGTAAGTCAGTACATAAAGGAGTAGACAGTATACTATATATACACCGAGAGCACTAATGGCTTCTAGAAAGCACTTGAATGACCTATGACAGCGATTTTCAGCCTGGGGGTCTTTTTCAGACACCCCTAGGGAGGGGCCACGTCCTCCCTTGTTCACGCTGAGATCTTAGTCTGTGGGCGAGAGTGCGTCACAAACCTCAGCTGTACAGGAGGAAGACGGCAGAACAGCGCCAGGAAGATCAGGCTGAGTGCCTTTCAGCTTCTAGCCAATCACCCGAAAACAGTTTGCCTTTCTTGAGACTTCAGTATATAAACTGGCAATTAAAACAAACAAACACACACGCTGAATTGAAAACTGAATGCAGCCAAGAGAATTAGCCAAAAGCGGAGAAGGCTGGCAGAGTTAACGCAGGCTACAAGCTGGAGCAGTGAGACAGCGCTGTCCCTCTCTCTTTTTCCAGCCAGCAGTCATGCAGGAGCCAGGCAGCTGTATCCCTTTCTTGGTACTGCTCTGGCTGGCTTCATGGTGGCGGCAGATGGCCGTATGTCTTTCAAAATCTAGGTCCATGTTTGAGTTATCCGCCATGGTCACCCAGGCTGTCAAGTGTGCTGCTCTTGACAAATGCTGAGGAACTCAATTTGTTATTATAAAATCTCTAAAAACATCAGCCTTTAACTGGAGACCTATCTCCTCCAACGAGGCCAAGGCAATCCTGCTGTTTCTTTCTGAAAGCCAGACTCTCTTTAAATGAGGAAATAATACCCAGAAGTTAATTCCTAGCCTTCATGTATAGAAGACAGTCTACATTCTTAAGAAACACAGAAAAATTACCTAGAGCTATAAACATTCACATTCAAATCAACTGACAACAGAATGAGAAAAACAGGAACCGTACAGAAAAAAATTCACTTCATGTTTCTACTAGGATAGGTATTCAAAGGTTGCTTCAAATTAAATATGTTTAATTATAATTCTAGCCAGGATTTACACTAAATAAGACTTCTCAGCAGTCCCACATGCAGCCATTTCCCCTAACTTGCATGCTCTGCCGTGGGTCACCATGTGCAGAAGCGAGCACCACCTTCAAGGACCAGATCCTGAGGGGGAGGTATCATCTGCCTTTATTATCTTCTTCTCAGCTGCATGTCACAGTTTCTCAAAATCCAAGCCCACAGAGTTCTTTTAGGATTAAAGCAGGAGAGAAAAAAAAGGTGAAGCCAATATTCATCCTTGAAAAATAGGTCGGTCCACATAATGGTGAGCTTCAGCTTCCGGGCCATTCCAAATCAGTGTTCTCCAGTTTGAACATAGTCTTCTGTGGCCTGGGACAGAGTGCTCAGATACTGCCAGCTCAGGGCAGCCAAGAGCATGACAAACGACAGGTAAATGGGGGAGTAGTGGCTTCGCTCAGAGATCAGCTGACAACTGGGAAGCTTCTGTGTCCTGATTGTGGAGATGATCTGCCTTGTTTTATCGGAAGATGAGTCTGAGTCGGGGATTCTATGATAAATCTATTAAAGGAAAAAATAGTAAGTGCTACTTATTGAGTCCTAGGAACTTTATAGGACATCCTCTTTGTCGACATGTTACAAGCACTCTAAACAGGTAGGGATTTTATGCCCATTTTGCCAATGAGGAAACTCAACTAAAGGTAGGATATCAACTTAGGCCCTCTGTAATCCGAAAGCCCGTCCTATGGAGCAAGCAGGGAGGCCTGAGCGTATGCTGTGCTGGGAGCTACTGGTTCTCACTGATCTTCCATCCCAACACCTCCCAGAGCCAGGCACATAGTAGGCACTCAGTAACATCAGCAGTTTTGAGGCTGAAGTAGAGTAATATGGAGGAGGGGCAATACTGGAAAGACTGGCAGATGCGGCTTCGGAAAACAAGACCGAATCTGTGGCACGGGCCACAGCCTAGATGAAGAAAGGCAAGAACAGAAGCAGGGTACCTGAGAGTCATCCGAGAGTCCTCCCTGCACCTCTGCACCTATCCCCTCCACAAACCTCTGAAATATTTGCTGAACCCTGTCCTCTTCATGCCTCCAATTACTGCCCTCCACGCCTCTCACCTAAGCTACACCAGCCTCCTAATTGAGCTCCTGCCTCTATGCTTGACTCGTAAAATCCATGATCTGTTCTCCACCTTGGCACCAAAGAAATCCAAAACCTCTACTTGATAACTTCAGTGGGCTCTAAAATCATCTCCTAGCTCAAAAAATATGTTTATACTTAGAAGCTCCATCCTAAATAAAGCCTTGCTTCATTTATCGCCTCTTACCAGGATCCTGTGCAACTCTGCACAATCAGCTCCTTGTGAGCATACTTTTTCCTAATAAAGGCTACCAATTTATGTCTTTGTACCATGACACAGTGAGTTGTTAGAATCATCTAATATCCAAACCTGAGATGTTTAAGTGACATTATCTAAATCATAAAAATACCTACACATTATCCAAGTAGTTCAATGAAAACCTACCTCTTCTATATACTGGTGTATTATAGCTTTGACAGCTGGCATGTTGGTGGCATCCATCATTAGGGTTACCGCTTGTCCTTTTCGAATCTTCACTACTCCTTTGAACACCTGCTGATTATTATAACAGGCAGCCAAAGTAGCAATGGCCATTACCTACGGATAATAAGGAAAAGGAAAAAACACTAATTCATTTCATTTCATGAAAAAAATCGTTAGTAAACAGCGCTATAAGCAACCATCATCACAAAACAGTAAGAAAACCTTCTGTAGAATGAGAAAGAGCTCCCAAAGAGCTAAGATGTAACCAACCAAGAAAAAAGACCCATGAAGAAAGCATATCTAGATTTTTACATTTCCCACTCCTCCCTTTCTCAACGCAGAATAATCAAGGGGTCTTTGCAGTCTTGATTCTATAGTTTAGCCATGAAAACTCTTTTTTATTAGGAAACAACAAACCAATGCAACATTTTCCATGCTAAAGCAATGAGTTGTTATATCTGAAAAATATATCTCAAAAAATACCCAATAAGAATTTTCTATTAGAATTGAATTAAATGTTTTTCTCCCCTATTTTTCCTACAGTGAACATAATCATTATACATTAAAAAATTAGCATGGAGGTGGGGGGAACAAAAGGGCAGTAGTTCTAGTTTCCCATGCTCAAAGGTAAATTATTTCTAGGATAAACAAAAACCCAGGTCAGGCCTACAGATCTTAGTTCCAACAACCATTCAAGACTGGCCATTAGATTTTTTCATATAAATACCCAGAAGTAGAACTGCTGAGTCATATGGTAAGTTCTATTTTTAATTTTTTGAGGATCCTCCATACTGTTTTCCATTGTGGCTGCACCAATTTGCAATCCCACCAACATTGCACAAGGGTTCCCTTTTTTCCACAGCCTCATCAACACTCATTTATTGATTTATTGATAGCCTTTCTGATAGGTGTGAGGTGCTATCTCATTGTGCTATTAGTTTGTTTTTTCCTGATGATTAGTGATGTTGAGCATCTTTTCATATGTCTATTGGCCACCTTTATGTCCTCTTTGGAGAAATGTCTGTTCAGGCCTTATGCCATTTTTAAATTGGATTGTTTTTTTGGTGTTAAGTTATATAAGTTCCTTATATATTTTGGATATTCTCCCCTTATTGGATTGCCAGTATTAAAAATAGTCACGAGAATGTAAAGTACAGCATAGGGAATATAGTCAATAATACTGTAATAACTACATGGTGTCAGATGCATACCAGACTTATCGGGGTGATCACCTCATAAATTATATAAATGTTGTACACCTGAAACTAATATATTACTGTATGTCAACTGTAACTGAAAAATTTTTTTTTAAAGATTGGTCATTAGAACAAGATCAAACCAAGTTTCCTAATCAGTTAAATCCTATGACTTTCTTCACTTAGTTGAGTTACAAACTGAAATACCTGATAAAGGCATTTTAAAAATTGTAAGCTCCTAGAGTAGTAAGGGGCTAGGAACATAAAATCAGGTTCTGTTAGCCTGAGTCTAGGAAAAGGAGAACAAATATTAGGTGCCTAATTAAGACTTTTTAATGATAATAGCTTCACCTACGTTTTACTCAGCAGTCCCCATAAATCTAGGCCAGATCCCTAGATTTAACTGTAAGGATAAAAATTTAACTAACTAGCTTACAATATTTAATGGAAAAAAAAAAAAGTTGTGGAAGGTTCTGGAAAGGAGCAGACTTAACCTTGAGGCTTAGCTGAGTGTGGAGGTTGTAAGTCAAAGGGGAGGTATTGTGAAACGCTGCCTGCCCCCCAGCAAAAGAAAATAACTAGAGCCACTTTTTAAGTGACCATATTCCTGAATATTGCACATCAAAATACATTCTACCCACCCCACTACACGACTCCCTTTAGCCTCTGCCTCCCATATAAAACAAGACCAGCCCTATTCCATACCTGTGGAATAGCGCAGAAGTTAAACACACTTTGGTTTCTAAGTCTGGATAGGTAGGTGATGACATCTGGGATGTGGTGTAGTGCACTGGTTATAAGTTCATTCAGACACTGCACAGCTAAGTCAATATTCTCTGGCTTAGTAAAATCACTCAACTTCTTAACATACTTGCTCCAAATCTAGACAGACAAGATTAAAAAACAAGTCACGATGTGCCTAGAGTGGACTATCCCCCTTTGAATAAGAAAGGATCTTTGTGAATAAGAACAATGTACACAGTAAACTCTTAGCTGCTGACTTATCTATGACCAAGAGCAAGTCCATTTTAAGGTCCAATCAGTGGCTATTTATGACAAGTCAGGGTCTAATCACAACCTAAGAGTACAATTAATACGGCATGGACTAAGCAATACTTTGATGACCTCATACTAAAAGGGCCTCCTGTTAACCAGATATGTACAAAATCAGCTACAACAGTACTGCAAGCTAAACATTCTCAAGAGTGCCAGGTCTCCAGTTAATGATTAAGATCACATTCCTAATTCTGATAAAAATGCTGCTGAACATGCAAATCTGGAGAAAATGAGCTGGGTGTATACCAAGAACATTACCACCCTGGATCTTAGCAACTTGAAAGTGAAATAACATCCTCAACTCCAACAGTGGGATTCGTTTGATAATTTTTAACAATATTATTTAGAGGATTCTCTGAAGCAAATAACTTACTTTTATTCTTGGGTAATTATTAAGCTTCCTAAAGAATGACATTTATTATAACTTTATATACTCCCCAAAATAAATGATTAGGCCTAAAAACACTAGGAAATTCTATGGAGAATCAAATTTGTTACCATTCTTAAATGTACCTAAACCCACTGAGATTGATGGTACTAGACTGTTCTGCAGAACCTGGAGAAAACAGGTTCTGCAGAATAAACCCCTATGTATCTATCTTCCAGCTTCAACAATTATTGACATTTGGCCAATCTTGTTCCATCTATGTCCCCCCACTCCAGCCCTGGGGTTATTTGAAATTAAAGCCCTGATACATCAATTTCTCTACAAATACTTCATTATGGAACCTTTCTTGTACACATATTACACGTAAAAATTAACAATAAACACTGAATACAAAATATCTAGTTAGTGTTCAAATCATCTCATTGTCTAAATTTTGGTTGATGTCATTTAGGTCTATTCTGCTCAATTTTTATTTCACTCCACAATGTGGGACCCACTCCTGGGAAGAGAATTCTGACAGCAGCTAAGAGTTTACTGTGTACATTGTTCTTATTCACAAAGATCCTTTCTTATTCAAAGGGGGATAGTCCACTCTAGCTCCTCCAGGCTTTGCCATGGCCCCTCTGCTCACCCACTACTGGGAAAGGAAAACCTCTCCCTATGTCACATGCTCTTCTCAAAGGAGCCCATCCAGCTGTCCAGTGAAAACCTGTTGGCCTCTCATTTTCAGGTCTGTTACATACTCCATAGCCAATCCTTGCTTTCCCCTGTGCAGGCTCTGGCAGCAGACAGGTTTTGTTTGTGGTGTATGTGTTTTGTCTGCCTCCACTTTTGTTTTGGAGCTCCTGGGGCTGTTGTGTCACTTAGTGCTTTTGTACGTTACCAATGGCCTGGATTCTGAGTCTGTTTGTTTAGCTTTTTTTTTTTTGGACAAGTTGTTTTATAACTTTTGTGAAAATCTGGGAAAATCCCAAAACTAAGCTGCTGCTGCCACCACCACCATCTTTGCAAAATTCAAAATTCCAGCTAAAAATTGCAGAAAGGATGACAGAAGCAAGACAGCACCATCTGGCATCTCTAAGGATAATGGATCTGGACGGAGTCTGTTTGTTTAGCTTTTTTTTTTTTGGACAAGTTGTTTTATAACTTTTGTGAAAATCTGGGAAAATCCCAAAACTAAGCTGCTGCTGCCACCACCACCATCTTTGCAAAATTCAAAATTCCAGCTAAAAATTGCAGAAAGGATGACAGAAGCAAGACAGCACCATCTGGCATCTCTAAGGATAATGGATCTGGACGGAGACCACCAAGGTAAAGAAAAAGAACTCATAACTTATTAGAGAAAAAGTAAGGCCATCCAAATAAACCACGGACTTTAGTTAATATAATGCATCATATCGGGTCATTAATTATAACATATAAATCGTACTATTATAAGATGTTAATAATAGAGGAAATTGGGCAAGGGGTATAAATCTACACCTGGTCTAAAACTTAAAAGTCTATTAAAAAAAAAAAAAAAAAGAAATAAAGAAAGAAAATTATCATTAAATTCTCAACAGCCAGTCTTTAAAGCAAAAGGAAATGGAGTAACACATTTAAGATACTTAAAACTGTGAACAGAAAATTTTAATCCAGACTGACTTTCAAATATAAAGGACACAGACAAACTATTACCAGTATGTATAAACACAGAGAATTATTGTTCTGATGGGTCTTCCTGTCCACCAGAGCACGAGCCTCAGAAAACCAAAATGACTAGAGACGCCAACATAAAGATGGGTGGTAAGCATAAAACTAAGACTAAATAAGTAGAGAAAGGGTGATATTATAGTAGATAATGGCTAGCAGATCTGACAATTTAGATATAAATACAAGCATAAAAAATTCACATGTACTTTTAGCTCCCCCCAAACTTAACTAGTCGTCCCTTGTTATTGTGGGGGATTGGTCCCTAGACCCCCACAGATACCAAGATCTGCGGATGCTCAAGTTCCTTATGTAAAATGGTGCAGAACATGGCATACAGTTGGCCCTCCACATCCAGATTCCCAACCACAGACTGAAAACAATGTCGGTTGGATTCATGGATGCGAAACCCAGGGATATAGAGGGCTGACCTGACCGTACACGTATGGAAAAAAATCTGCGTATAACCAAAACTGTGCAGTCCAAGCCCATGTTCAAGGGTCAACTGTAGTTCTTTCTGTGCTTCCATTTTACAGAAGAGGGAGGTGAAATGTGCACAGACAGCAGAACTGGTAGTACCCGTGAACCGCACTTGGGTGATGTGCTCATCTGAGGCAGTGTGGTATGCTAGGCAGCCACTGGGCTGGGACCCAGGAGACACGGGCTTCTCTCGCAGGGTGGCCACTAACTCACTGGGGGTCCTCAGACAGGCCCCTTTTCCCTTCTTGGAGCCATGGTGTCAAAGGAGGGCTGGTCAAGAGCTGTTTGTCATCCCTGGCTATACATTAGTCACCTGGGAAGCTTGAAAAACTATGCTTCTGAGCTCAGGGTACTTCTAATGTGAATTTTTCTTAAGAATAAGACTGATCATCTTTTCAGATGTTTAAGGATCATCTGCATCTTTCTGTGATGCTATCTGTTTTTATCACTTTATCCATTTTTCTACAGGGCACTTGGTCTTTCTTATTTTTTAGTAGTTTTTCTTTAAAGATTAACCTTTTATCTGCAGTATAATTTACCAATATTTTCCCACTTTGCCACCTGCCTTTTTTCACTTTAGAAAGCACTTTGTTTTAGGAAACCATTTTATGGAAAGAAAAAGGTAAATGCTGGAATAAAATCAGCAGATAGTCATAAGATTTTCTAGCTTTCTTTCTGAAGAAAATCAATGTCAAAACCTTTTCTTCCCCTATCTGCTTTTTAATTGTCAAAGATCAACTCTTATCTCTTAAAATGAACATCTGTAGTTTTTGCCTATCTAGCATCCTTTCCCTCTTCTTTCTTTTAATCTTTCTTCCTTGGGGGAATCCATTCTATGTGCATTGGGCAGACATAATCCAAGCCTGGTCAGAGTACTCAGCCCTCTGGCTACAGTAATTGGTTATAAAGGATGGCAATAGGAACCAAGCCATACCAATCAAACCTTCCTAAGGACATTTTTGTTAAACTAGTAGGTTGTGAGTCATGGGTTATTATATCTACCACTTGGAGAATGCCTGTCAAAAGAGAGAAAGAAAGAACACAAAGACTGATTACAGAATCTGAACCCCTGGTTTCAGCCAGTCTACCTACAGGAAGCAAACTAAATCTTAACCTACTTTATATATACTTTTTATGTTGCCGAAGGTAGTTTGGTTTACATTTCCATCACTTGCAACCAAAAAGATTTAATGGTTTTCAGAAAGTGTTTAAAATTAATTTTCCCCAAATCCCCTGAATTTGTTACCTCTTGAGGCCAAAACTCTCTTCCTTCTTGCTGATCTTCCAGATAATCACGAATGATGTTTGTTTTCTGCAGAAACAGGCCCATAGAGTTGGCACGCTCTGTGTCTTCACCAACTAAGGGGTCTTCTAACTCTGAGGCTGAGAACAGTCGGGAAAGGCCAATGCCTACCAGCCCAGCAACATAGTGACAGTACTGTAAAAGATTGAAGTAGTTCAATAAGAAAACTTTTACTAAAATGGTTTCCTGATAGACCTACACAGCAGAAAAGGAAGTTATTATACAGATAACCAGTGCTGGTTCTTGGCCAGTTTTATCTTTAAATTTAAATTCATAAACTGATATTCTAGCAGCAATCACATACATGCTCACTTGGGGGAGCATCAACCCAGGAGCAGTTCCAACGATGTTGCTATTGAGTTCTGAAGCTTGAAAAATTAAGAGGCCAGGCCTTGGACCTGTACTCACTAAATGAATATGAAGTAGCTTGCTCTTGATATACTAACCTACACACTGTTAAAGATACAAAATACATACATAGTTTAGATGTTTAAAATGCCAGTTGCTTCTACTGGGATAATAAGTCTTACAAATGCCATTCCTATGGAAAATGGGCAAGCCCCACCCCACCACCCTGCATTCTATTAGTTAGTTTAGTCTTTATAGTCAATTAGGTCGCTTGTCTAGATAAGCACTCTCTCCCAGTTCCCTAACTCCTAACTTGGTCTATATCCTTTATAGCTGCTGGTCAGGAATAAACTGGCCAAAAAAAAAGCCACTGCAATTTTATTTGCCACTTCATCTGCTCTCATAGCCCTTCCAGATATTATGTCTCCTGAGGAAGACAGCCTCACCCATGTCAGGTCTCCCCTTGCTCAGCCCCACACATATTTGTTTATAACCAACAAATGAATTGTGGGGGTGGGGGATGTCAAGAAACTTAGAATATCTCGTGTTGTCTTATTTCTGTAAGGAGATGATGGGAAAGGAAGAAGTAAGGTATTAGAGAGATGCTTACCTCTTAGTATAATACATCCATAATCCAAAGTTAATACCTGTGGATTTTCATGAACTACTTTTATTTCTAAGGAAATGGACACATAACAGTTTAAAGTTCATCTTGTGCTAAGATGGAACTGAAATGACTCAGATACTAAGGTATGTATACACACACTTGGTCATAGAAAAGACGAAAATAACAAAAAACATTTTAAAATATGAAAATTGTTATCTATTACCTGAAGTAATTTAACCATTTACCTAAAATTTCACAAGTCAGAGAGACTTCTATAAGCTTAATGTCTGTACCTCTGGGATAATTTCTATCTACTTTGGCCTAACTTAATGGCAAACTCTCTAGAGCATCAATTATTTCAAGTATCAAACCATAAGCCCTTATTAAGTATTTATGATGAGACATTCAAGCTAAACAAAAGGGTTGTAAAAGCAGAAATCCTGGATCTGGGGGACAATTTTCTCTTTATTCTGAATTTCACAATGAGTCCTGCTGGCCCTGTCTTATGCACCACACACTGTTTTATAGGAACACTAACCTGGTCCCATTCCTGTTCAGATGTCACTTGCTTAACCAAAAACTCCGCCATCCCACATCCCATTTTTCGGCAAATGTCAGCAATCACTGTTTGATATTTCTCGGCCAGATTTCTAAACTCAAAGGAGATCTGAAATGGAGATCATAAAGAAAACAGAAAATATGAAATATGTATTTATACTAGGAACCAACATGGTACCTACAAATCATAAAGCAAAGCAAAAGTATAACTTATTAACTAAGACTCTCAAATGATTCATCTATAAACCCAACATCTAGGTTATACTAGTTTTCTATATATTGACAATAAATCCAGAAAATTTTATAAATATTAAAATAGAAGGGCCTAAAATGCTAGTTTCTAGACTCAAAAGAAGATTCAGTCTCCCTATACACTCATCTTTCTGATATATAATAAATGAGATGCACCAACATAAAACGGCATAAGTCTAAGAACTTTAGTTAGAAGGCCTCATTTTAGACAAACCTCGTTAAGTGAAGATTCATTCATACCAAGGTATCAAGCACTTCCTGTGTAACAAGCATTGTCTAGGCACTGAGAAAGACAGCCAGAAATAATCAGAAACTCCTGCGTCTGTAGAGTTTATATTCTAGCAAGGAGATCAGACATTTTCTATCATCTGTTCCCAAATTTGTATCACGAAGCTATAGTGTCTCCTGCACTATAAAGCTACACTTTTTTAACCCCTTAAACACCTATAGTTAGCTCATTCTGAGGACTGATACTCAACATTTTTTTCATAGCCCAAGCTCTAATGTAGGAAAGTACTACTGATGCCTTTAAAATTCATTGCTTCTGCACAAGTATCTTAAGTTCAAAGTATTTATAGGTTTTCAAAATACAATATAAACACATCATGAAACTGCTTATATAAAATGCTATAAAATATTACGATACTAAAAACAGTGAACAGACTTTGTTAAGCATCAGAAGTGTGAGAAATACTTAGTCTGTTTACAGAAAGGTTAGAAAAGGTTCCTCGAGTAACACCTAATTTAAGGACCCAAGGGAAAACCAGCTGGTTGCAGGGCACTAAAAAGAAACAGAGCCTAAGAAACTTTAGGATTACAGTACTAAACATCAACTGTTAAACCCAAAAATCCGTAAAATCAACCCTGTATCTCCAGAACACAGTTCTTTCCAGAACAGCTGTTTCAGGGCAAAGCCAGGGTAATTCCTATTGTGGACTAAAACAAATGAGCAACTTTACCAAAGGTTATTTGAATCCCTGAATCTTCCTAAGACCCTGTTCTTTCAATACATCCTTAGCTAAGTCAGTTCTATTTATAAGAGAGGAAAGGCCAGTGAGATGGGGGAGGAGCAGCAGCCTGGGCTCTTAAAAACAAACACTCCAAAATAAACACCTCACAGCTGAATTTAAACCATCCCTCCCTTCAACAACTCTTTGGTACTCATTACATAATTATACAATTCAAAAAATGAAAACAAAAATATCCAGGAAAAAGAGGCAATGAAGAGCTCTGTTTTTCCAGAAATCTGAGAGGGGGAGAGGGCATTGCTAACTTGCTCCACACTTGGCGCCCCATTTAACACATTCCCTATGAATAACAACAAGCTCTGCCAAATAAAGTGAGCCAGGAGGGCTTTTTCTTATCCCTCCAGGTGATTCTGATCCACAACTACAGATTTCTAGGTCCTTGGGGTACTCTCTGATCACTCCAAGTACATGAAGGAAGGGTACCAGGGTGAGTCCACCAGCATAATGGACAAAAACGTGAGCCTTAATTCCTCACCAATTTTTTTCACAGATTCTTTTTCTTTCTTCTTTTGTGTTGTATACTGTATTGACTCCACCTGATTATTCTTCATAGATTTTTTTGGTTTGTACTGATTTTTGGCTTTGACATTTAAGATGTAATCTCAGTGATCTGAAATGGCCCTTGCTCCAAAGGAGTCCTTCTCAGTCTTTTGCAATGGGTGGATTCCTCCCCTCTCCACTGAGGAATATAGATTTGTTTCAATAGGAAGAGCCACAATAAGGACTATTCTTCCTCCAAATCCTGGCAACTGTATATAAAAAGAAGAGCTTCTTTGGTCTATTAGATAACATGAGACTTGGCTAAATCACTTATTTGTGATAAGACATGCAAGTTCCAAAAAAGCAGGACCCGGTCCCATGTATCACATAAACTTGTAGGATTTTCTAAAGCTCGAGATTTTAATTTAATAATCCACTTTACTCCAAGAAATGGACTGAATACCTAATATTTCTAGAATATTTAGTATGCAGCAGGCACTATTATACTTTTTACATGTAAACTTATTCAATCCTCATAGCTAACTTTACAAATGAGGAAACTGAGGCATCAAGCAATTAAAGAACTTGTCCAGAATCACACACGGCTGGAAAGAATCAGAGAGCTGGAAGCGGCAGATGCTCATCCTGCATCTCAGTCTTCACCACAGCTGCTTGCTCCCTACACCATAGCTGCTACTCATCATGAGCAATATGTCCACATTACCAGGCTTAGAGCACCCAAGAAGGCAGCAGTGCTACATACTGAGGCTGCATTATGTAGGCAATAGGTTTTGTTGAGCTAGACTGAGAATCTATCTTTTAAGACACTGGAACTTGAATGCATCTTTCCACAGGAATAAACACTGGACTTCCAAACACATACTACTAATAATAGTAGCTAATGTCATTCTAAGAGATTTATCTATATTAATTCTTTTAACCCTCATAGCAATACTATGAGGTAGGCACTATTATTGCCTCTTATTTTATAGGTTAAAAAAATGAGGCACAAACAGGCTACTTAAGTACCAGTTAATAACTGGGAGAGTTGGGATTCCAACACAGGCAGTCTGGCTTCAGAATCTTAACCATCCCGTTATAGTATGCTGCCCTCAGACTGCTTGTTTTATTGTTCTCTACAGGTATGTACGCTGGCTGACATTACATCAATTATAAGCACAACCCTATGCAGAAGAGATCTGTAATTCCACTACCGTTGGGAAATCCTCCAGCACTTGTCGATCCCTCTCTTTGCTCTCCATGAAGCACCAGTTGGGTTCATAAAGGTAAGAGTGAAAGTTTTGTAACATTGGGACCTTTACTTCTAGATTGATGGTCATGTCATCTTCCAGAGTGTCCAGAGCTCGGAGAACCAGATAAAATATGCATACTGCATTGCTGTAAAAAAGAAAGAACTATTAATATATTGGAACAAACTTCCAAGATATTTATTTTAAAATAGCTTCTTATGTATGCTAGACAGTTTTCTAAACCCTCTTATACCTTTAACTCTGCAGAACTATGAAAGAACATCCAAAGCCTTTTATACTTGAGACATCTTAGTTTTCTTTTCTTGGATGGGAGCAATGAACTTCTGTAGTTAAATTATAAAAAAAGAAATTAAAAAAAAAAAAAACGTATCACTTGGATGGCACTACTACTCCCAGAATGAGTTACATTTAACTAATGTAGAACAACTGTACAAAGGCCAACAGACCAAGTGTTTAGATGGAATACTTGCAGATAAAAAAGTCAAAAGACCCAACTTCTCCATATAAATACTACCACGCATAAAGGCAACTGGTCTAAATTCATGGATTTATGTAATCTGCACAGAGGCGATCTGGAAAAAATTAACCCAGTATACTAGAAACGCAAAGGAGCATCAGGGAAGCCAAGAAAAATGCACGACCTGTTCAAAGGCAGGTTCGGCTGCCAGGACTAAAAAAGGTTAAACACCCCCCCCCGTCCCCTCCTCCATAAAAGTGCTGGGCCTGCCAGGGCACTATTTGGTGGTGAGGTGCCTGGAAGGGCAAAAAAGGTTAAACACCCCCCTCCGTCCCCTCCCTGAAAGAGCTGGGCCTGCCAGGGCACTATTAGATGGTGAGGTGCCTGGAAGGGCAATCTAAAGTAAATACATAGGCGTTTCAACAAGAAACATTCCCTTCACTCGAGTAGAGCATGTTCTGCTTAAGCCACGAAGGCACAGAGACCCAACGGTTAGGAGCTATGTCAAACAGCTTCAAATGACTCAAAGTCCTCTAGAAAAAAGCTTTCGTCTCCTACGTCAAAGGAACTGCCTCTGACACTTACCGCATTTCCCCATCCAGCGCCTGGATAACAGCTGCGAAACTGCGACTAGTCTGACGCAGATACTTGTAACAAGTTTTCAAGCTGCTGCTGAGCGAATCCTGAGGGCAGAGAAGACACGCGGAGGTGGGAGACGTAGAGGAGCAAGAGTGGGATTGGGGCAAATGGCCGGCAGCCGTCGGGCTCCACAGCCTACGGCAGACGCCCTCTCCCCGCGGCCAGTCCTTGGAGGGCCAGGTGGCGGGAGGCAGTGAGCAGCCTCGCGGGGAGATGCCAGTGCTCGTGACCCTGGGCGCAGCGGTGGGGCTCAGCACCAAGGTCCGCTTGAAGAGGGACATGGCCTTGATGCCGCAGGCGGCTGCGGCCATGAGAAAAGCGAGGCCAGCGCAGTTTTTCCTCCCGACCCAAGCGGAGCTGGGAAGCGCCCACCGAGGGGTGGGGCGGCTCTCCCGCCACCCCAATAGGCTTGGGGCTGGCTGTCCACCGGACCCGCCCACTCCACCCATGAGGCCCGCCGCCGACCCAGAGGTTGCCCCGCCTCCACGGTTGGCCCCGCCCCATACTCCCGGCTTGCAACTCCTTAGCCACTCAGCCCCTTCCTCTCCGTCTTCCCCTTCTCCCCGAACCCACAGGATGCTAGCAGAAACCAGTCCACTTTTGAGAAGCTTGCTTTTCCTCCCCGTGACAGCATCTCTCCTTGACCAAACTTTAGTCAAGATCCCTAAATTTTCTACCATGGATGCATACTATTTAGTCAAAATAACAAAGCTTAAAAAAAAAAAGAAAAAGAAAAACATGAGAATTTTACTGCCATGTTCAATAAAAAATTATTAATAAAAATTAGCATATACTGAGCACCACAAATTAAGAAAATCATTAGTAGTGTCTGGCATATAAAAATACTCAGTGAAGGTTTGATGAATAAATTAACACATTCAGAACATTTAAAAAAGATTCACCAACTCCTTTCCTCTCAAAATGTGAAGGCAAGACTTCACAGTAAAATAAAAGAAACAATAAGAGCTATTTACTGAGCTCCATGCCAGCTCTTCGCATAAACTGCTGTTATCAGGCCACAATGATTCCTTTTTGCATTGCCAGATGTTTTAATCCTCAGCTACAACTGATGGTTTGGGGGCTGATATCTCCCTGAGTTGCAATACACACAATAGTGCAGTCACACGGGTTCTGAAAAGCAACACTCTTAAAGAACACTACCCTCTCTTTTCCAACACACCTCTTTCACTCTTAAAAGTGATCAAGGTCAATAAATCACTTCCTTATCTCCTTCCCCCATCATTCTTTTTCCAGTCACCTATTTGTTTCAGTATCTCACCCTGTAACAATAAATTTCCTCAACTTACCAAGATACAGGAAGCTATAGCTATTAAACACACTATGGAAAACACTACTCACTAAAAATTTCCACTGCTTGATTCCCATAAGCTGAGGCTGCAGGAGCTAAACCTCCTGCAGCCTGTCCCTAGAGCATCCTGATGTTTTCCACTGCTAAGATGCTACACACTTTCAAGAACTCTCAGGTGAGCGCAAAGAGGGATGAAGGGCATGTAAAGGAAGAATGTGCAGTGGCTAGAAACAAGACTGAACTCCTGGGACTTGTCTCAAGCTGAAAGACAGTTCTGCAAGTGAACAGCTACCAACCCTCCCCATGGCTTTCCATTAAGACTTTAAGTAATACAGATTCCCTCAGAAGGGGGAAAAACCCACAAACTTTGGAACTGAATTTATATAACAAGATTAGTAACTGCCACTTACTGGGCAGCTACTTACTTGCCAAGCACAATACAAACATTACTGACTTAACCTGCTGTACCTCTTAAATCCTCAAAATACCCTTTAAGGAAGTTACTACAGACCTACAATCAACCTGAAATCTTCATGGCCAGATGTATAGTAGAATTCAGATATTTTTGTGTTTTAGAAAACAAGCAATAAAATATATAGATAGCCCCAGTCACTATGGAGCAACATCCCATAACTGGTTTTAACATTTCTTCAGCATAACATTTGAATATACCAAGCAGGATCACTTCAATTCAAAGTAAATTTTTTGCTGCCATATGGTCTTGAGCCCAACTTATGAAAAAACTGGTTTTCAGATCATTTTGGAATTTGGAAATAGTAGTTAAACAACTGAGCTGGTATCTATTTTACAGGTGAACAAACTGTTGCACAAAGGTTGTTAACAAAAGTTATTCAGCTAGTTAGTTAAGTCAGGATTTAGAAATGACAGAAGCCAGAATTACATCATTATAAGACGCCTGCTTTCCCATTAAGTGCCCTCAGTGATGTCACAACTTGCAGGTGGCAGTATGCCCCTAGACTTACTGATATGCTTCTAAAAATTCAGTATAAATCAAGTTTACCAAACTCTGAATTCCTACAGCTAAATACTTTTGTGACAGAAATATTAGGCCCTCAAGATCTGCTAAGTGTATATATTTTCCCCAGCTTCTTTGTTACTTACGAGAGAAACTAAGATAATGTCAAGTGAGGGGAAATGGATTTTCCTGTTTCCTCTAATTAGAGATCCACTCAAGCGTGGCTCATGGGAGTTAAAAAGGGCTCAGAAAAACTGCAACTGGCAAAACAAATAATATTGTATCTTCATCAAATCTTAGAGCTAGAAGAGTTGGAATAATCTCTCACTTTTTAAAAAACTCAAAAGTTTTTTACTTTTGAGTTTTGATACTGTGAAAAGTCTTTCTCCTATCCCCTTATCAAGACCACCCATTCCCCCCATTCCTCTAGAAGGTAATCAATGACACCAGTTTTTCCAACGGACTCATTTTATAGAAAGAAAAATGAGAGGCAGAGAAGTCAAGTCTCTGGACCCAACCCTATAAATTGTGTTCCCTGATTCAGATGCCCAGAACCCTTGCCCTATTATTTTTCTTTGTAGTACTTAACTATACCTGAAATATCATGTTTGAGATAGCTGTTGAAATATACTCTCTCTTCCACTAGAATATAAGGTTCATAAAAGCAAGATCTTCATCTACCTTGTTCACTGTTGTATCTCCAGCACCTAAAACAGAATCTGGGCTGTCACATGTTTGTTGAATGAAGGAAGGAAGGAAGGGGTGGCGGTGGGGTGTGTGTGTAGAATAGGTAGGTAGGAAGGTAGCTAATACACAGAATTGAGAATTGAAGAAGGGAATGGAATCAGAGTGCCTGTTATGTGTTGGGAGCACATGTGACAGTGCTGGCATCTGATCCACTGTCTAGGACTAGTCAAAGCTTATGCTCTTTACCCAGGTGGTCTTCAAACTAAAGCATGGAGGTTTTCAGACAAGCCTGGAATGGCATCTTGGAACCACTGCTTGGGAGCTGTGTGACCTCACCAAAGTTATTTAATTACCCGATGCCACCAGTTCCTAATCTATAAAATGGCAGTGATAATAGGAACATTTCTTTAGGATTGTTATCAAGATTGACTAGTTACAAAATGGCCACAAAAGTTTGTGGCTCCTTCCATCAGGAGATAGGATCTTTCTCCACCTACTTGAATCTGGGCTTCCTTTGTGACTTTTTCTAGCCAACAAGACAGTAGCAAACGTAACTCAAGCAGAGGCTTGAAAAGTGTGTGCATACTGGGGTGTGTGCTCTTCCAGGCTCCTGCTAGATGATGAGACACATTATGTCCTGGTCACCCCTTCACACTGCAGCCTACAGCCTGCTAACCATCAGATTGTCAAGCCCATACCATCTGGTCAGCTGAACAAACCCAGTAGTAATCAACCAAGCTGGCCTAGACCAGAACTTCCCACCTCTCCTAAAGTTGAATCTGGACAATCCTCTGCTTAATGTGGTGGTCTATTGCCTTAATGATAAGCAGAATGGTGGAGTTAAGAGAGTGAGCTGTGGATTCAGACTGCCAAGGTCAAAGACAGCCTCCACCACACAATAGCTGTTGGACCTCAGGCAATTAAGTAACTTCTCTGTGCCTGTTCTTCATCTATAAAACAGGAAAAATTATAGCAGCTTCTTCACAGGGTTACCGGAAGGTTTAAATAATAGATGTAAGGTGTTTAAAATAGTTCTTGGCACACAGCAATAGCTCAATAAATATTAGCCATTATTATGACACCCTTTATCTAAATGGTAAAAACTTAGCTTTAAAAAGCCTTTCGGCAAGGTACCATCAAGATGGAAGACTAGGTCCTGAACAAGTACAATGAGGGATCTTGACTGACCACAATTCTGTGATAAGACTGCCTTAAAAAAAAAAAAAAGAACACTGACGTGGGGGCGGGGGAGATGAAAAAGGACTTTTATTTGTATCTGGACATATTATTTCTTAACAAGAACAAAAAAGAAGCAAATATAGCTAAAACTTAATATATATAGTTAATTTTAGAGATAGACACAAAATGGTTTGTTATAGTATTTTCAGTATTTTTCTATTTATTTGAAATATTTTAAATAAAATACATTTTTTAAAGTTAAAGCAATCTTAACCTATGTTAACTAGAAATACAACATCCGTAAGAAAGGAATTTAAAGTCTTGAAATGACCAGAAGTACTGTTCAATTTTGAACAATAGACTTTAAAGGAAGAGAGACCAAGTTGGTAAATGATCTGGAAAGAGCAACACATAACAAATGCAAGAATACAGAACATTTGGCTTCTATATCAATATTCTTAGAGAGAATATGAGTTTTCTTAAAACACTTCAAATGCTGTATTACAAAACAAGGATTAGATTCCCTGGCTCCAGCAAGAGAACAAAGTTCAGCTCACTATAAAGTAACACTGCCTAAAAACCAGAACTGTCAGGGGATGGAGTAGGTAGGCTGTCTCCAGAGGTAGTGACTTACAGGAGGCCTTCAAGAAGACCGTGCAACCTGGATTGTAAAGTGACTACCTGTTTTGTCACAGATCTCTGGAAGAATCTGATAATAGTGGACACCATTCTCCTTCCCCCAAATGCTCAAATATACAATAGCAAAAATATTTGCAAATAACTTCAGGAAAGCTCCAAGAACTTTTAGTAATAAGCTCTAATTAAACTAATTTCCTTTGAGCAAGGTGCAAGAACAATTTAAAGCTGTATTTCCTTCAGGCATTCCTCAAAAGATTAATCTCCTTTCTTGGCCGTAAGTGATATTGCTCATCTGTGAATTTCCTTATGGCATTTATTATAATCTGGTATTTACTTACATTTATCTTGTTTAAAAAGCTATATGTTTCTTGAGAGTAGTGTACCCACCTTTAGTTCATTCATTCACTGAAGGTACATCAAACAAGATTATTTTCAAATTGTTTCAAATATAGAATCTTAAATCTGAAAGGGACTTGGGGAAGATGAAACCAATACACAACCACAATACAAGACTATGAGACTGAGATAAAGTAAAACAGTGTTAAAGAAAATAGTTGAGGGACCTTCACAGGTGACATGAAAAGGCATCTCGTGATGGTGTGGTGCCTACCTAAA